TAACAAACTCTTATTTTCTTTTATGTAGAGGTTCTAAAGATAGTTTTCAGAATTGTCATCCCTTCTAACTGAAACGATAATCTATAAAATTCAGCGATAAATAATTGTTGGCTTTGTTGTCGATTTGACCTGTCCTTTCAACCTGACATTTGCGGGAAATGTTACTTGCGACCAGTGAACATCTCAAATACGGTGCAACCTTTAATACACGATATCGAGATAAAAGATAATTAATACAACATTTTTTTAAAAATGTAAAGAAACAGATAATAAAATTAATAATTTATATAATATAAGCAAAAAGATCACATATAATCCTAATCATGCTAATGTAATCACTTTGCGAAAAAAAGATAAATTATTTAGTATCGTACTTAATATTTATAGATGTATCGATAATCAAGGAGCAATCAGGAATAATCGACTACAGAATTAAAGGCGGATACGCGCCGGTTTGAATCGGATGTAGCGGATGCGCATAATAAAACGCAACCACGTACTGATGGATCGCAATACTGGCACATTAGTAGCCGGCAGTAAAGCTTAATGTTGATTGCGCCGAGTTTCGGGTCAGCCCGTAAAAATTCTGATTAACCCGCCAGGCGTGACGGCATGTACCATTCTATAAGTGCAACGGTGCGATAAAAAATGAAAAAAAAAAGAAAAAAAAACAAGACACCGTAGCATATAAAGGAGATATATGTATAATCGTAAAAAAAAAGATGTCGAGTTATTTTATATACACAGGTTACGGTTCACGTGCAATAAAATGATATGCGGGGAAAATTTCGCAACAATGTTAGATTCAATAAAGAAATGCATTCGAAGATGCAACTATATGTTTAAAACGTTTTTTTTTTAAACTCCGAAAAAATTATAATTCTTGGTTACTGAAAACATTATAATGTTAGTACATCTGAATAGCAGGTCAATGAATAAAACGTAACAATAAAATTGACTTACACTAAAAAAAAAAGTCATTTAAAAAGTTATTTTAAAAGTTATTTTCGAAAAAGAAAGACTAAAAATTGGCCAAATAATTATAGTTGAATAAAAAAGTACAATTGATCTAGGATGTCTTGTGTATTGAATATACGAGTATGTTTTATTAGCAAATTATAAGAAATCAATGCAATTAAAGAGATAAAGATTGAAATTATACCGGATCGAGTATCGTCCTGAGGGTCTCGTTCGGATCGAGCGTACGTAAAATTCGAGAGAAAAAAATCATCCTATCCATCTTGCTGGACCGCCATCCAGCATCCCGACATCTCGTGAGATCAGAACTTAAGGCAATTGCGCCTCAGCGCACTGATACAACAAAGGGCACCGTCTAACGCGGTTATACCTCGTAAGCGAAACTCTATTGCTATATCCCATCCTATATTGGCCGTCTCAGAGAACCCGCCTTCATCCATCCTACCTCTACTTTCCCCTCCGCCGTCCAACCTCCTTCAACCCTTATCGGTCTATTACTTCCTCTCTCTTTCCGCCGCTCTGTCTCTATCAATACCGACCTAATCTACTTTGCCGGCAAATAGTGTTCGCCTTCCCCAGACAATGTAACCCCCTAGAAACCACCCTTCCTCGTTCCCGCGCTTGTATCTGCTCGCTACAAGTCCATGCTTCAAGCCTCTTCCTCCGCGATTTATCCGCGAGCAGAAAACGCGATCATCGCGCGTCCGCTGGAATTAATTTGGATTGTTTAGAGATTGTTTTAGAAATGTGTGTGTGTGTCTGTGCGAGTAATTTTCGATAAACAAGTGAGAGGAGGGTATTATCTCGAATGAGATAAGCCAAAATAGAGTTAAGCAATCAATTTATCATTTCGCTTGTCCCCAAAATAATTCTTAGATATTTTGATTATTAAATGATGCTTATTAAATGGAAAATTAGAGAAATTTTAATTTGAAATAAGTCTAAAAGAAAATATATTAAAAATATAATTATAATTTTTAATGCGTCTATTTAATATATATCCTTTCATAAGGAAGAAATTCAACTGTAATATTTTTTCTATAGATATATATCTCTTCTTATGCACTATAATAATTAAAAATTTTATGAAATATAGACAATTAGAAAAATGTATGTAATTCAATATGTGTATAAATTCATATAACAGATCCATTATAAAAATTATTAAATCCATTAATTGAAAAATTAAAAACTTTTATAGATTATTTTAGATAAACCAATTATATGCGTGTTCCATTATTATCATCTTGTCTACCTACACACACTCACATATATGCACATGTATGTAGTCATATGTGCGCTCTGTCCAATCTATATCGCTTATTTATTACTTCATTAATTCACTTAATGAAAAGCGTTAAAGGTAGAATATGCTCTTACATAATAATGCGCAGAATTGCGGCTATAAATATTTTCGTTGCGGGCGAACAAACAGAGCTCGTCGACGTTGCTAGTCCTTGTTTTAGGTGCCATCGGCGATTCGCGGTTGAAACGCACCAGCCTCTGTTCCGCACAGCCGCGTCGCGTCGTATCGCCTCGCCTCTCGTATTGCTTGTAATTTAGTAATGAATACGTACGTACAGCGCACGTGAAGTGGTGGGCCACGCTGATATGTAGACGCGTAACATCTGGCGGCCTATGAAATGCAGGCACGGCCAAACGAACGGCCTGCAGCTGAATGTTACGACCGACGAGAGTTATGAGCCCTGACTCAATCTCCGGGTCCTACGCCCGATATAATTGCGATACTAAAACCCCGGCGCAAGTTTTGGAAATGAGTAAATCGCGCGCTTTTCCCATACGAATCGCCACGCGTCGAATCAAAAACCAACGCTGATGTAATTGTCGGAAGGAACTCTCGGTGACAGAACTGATCGAATTTTTGGCGAAAAATAAAAAAACACAGAGAACATATTTCTTTGATCAAAAAGAAAATTATTGTGATAATAGTAGAAAACCATATAAACGCTCTTCTCTGCAATATTTAAAGATAATGAATTCCTTTTAAATATAAAACTTCCATTTTCCAAAACGTGTGTTTGGTACTTTCATTTGAAAAATAATAATATTTTTTCGTTCAAAAGAAGCTGTTACTCGGAAATGCACTGAAAAAAAGGATTGGTTATAATAATTCAGTCTTGGTCAAAGTTTTCGAGAGCTTTAATGAAATAGTTTCAACTAAACGTATAGACAATTATGACGAAATAATTTGGTTAATAGGCTAATTTAATAGGCTCAACTAAACGCAAAATTTGCTTTTTTGAAATGTTTAAATAATTATTACCATTTTGTTATTATTATTACAATTGGTAATAATAATCAAATATTTCATACAATGCATTACTAAATGCATCTCACAAGCTTATCCAGAATTTTTTTTTCAGGATGTGCTTTTTTATGCATGTACTAACTTTCTTTTTATAGATATATTTTCCTGAAATTTTAACACACACATTATGCAACTTCTTGTGTTATTTAATATAATAAATTTCAATA